TGAACTTTAATGAACAACTCTTATATATCAACAACCAAAATAAATTTGGAACAAGAATAAAAGCAATGCAGATCTAAGGTACAGTCAGATACTCTGAGTACCCTCCCCAGTGGTTAATCTCGTCAATGAATTTTGTTTTGTTAGACCCATGAGTCTACAGGCTTCATCTCCATCTCCTTTTCTCATTGCAATTTATTTGGTGAACACACTTCATACTTTATTCTGAAGTGTAGGGATTCTCCATGGTGATATTTGAATCCTAATGTTCCTTCTTCATTTGATAGTGATGGGTGGTTATGCCTAAAAGAGTCTTTGTCTTTTAGCTACAATACTTCTGCATTAGGTATAACTTATATACTATAAAATTCACCCGTTCTACGTGTACAATTCCATGATTTTTAGTAAATGTACAGAGGTGTGCAGCTATCACCACAATCTAATTGAGAACATTTTCATCACCCTCCCCAAATCCCTTGTGCTCATTTACAGTCAATCCTTGTTCTCAGCCACAGCTCCAGGCAATCACTAATCTACTTTCTGTCTCAATGGATTGGCCTTTTCTGGACATTTCATAAAAATGGGATCATATATGATGTCATCTATTTATGGCTGACTTCTTTTGCTTAATATATTTTTAAGGTTCCTCTGTGTTGTAGCATGTATCAATACTTTGTTTCCTTGTATTGCCAAATGATACTCCATTGTGTGGATATACTACATTTTGTTTATAGCTCTGGTTGATGGACATTTGGATGGTTTCCACTGTGGGCTATTATAAATAGTTCTTCTACGAACATCAGCATATGCATCTCCATGTGGACATATGTTTTCATTTCTCTTGGAATTACTGGGTCATATGGAAAACTTCAAACCTTACCAGCCACTCCTTGGAAGGAAGGTTGGGCAATCTACTTCCATAGTGATATTGCTTCAGAAACCCAAGGAGGGGTTCCTATGAGTCGAATCCGACTTGACAGCAATGTGTTTTTTTTTTGTTGTTGTTGTTGTTGTTGTTTATGGAAAACCTCTGTTTAACTTTTTAAGAAACTGCCACTGTTTTCCAAAGTGGCTGTGCTGCTTTACATTCCCACCAGTAGTCCATGAGAGTTCCAGTTCCTCCACATTCTTGTCAACATTTAATGTTGTCTTTTTGATAATAGACTTTCTGGTGTGTGTGAGGTGGTAGCTCAGTGGTTTTAATTTGCATTTCCCTAATGACTAATGATATTGAGCATCTGCCCCAAGAGATTTTTAGGTGTGACTCCTCAATGAGTGTTCCAAGAAAGACACTGGGGAATCAGTCTCCCCTTCCCTGTCCTCCCATTGTCAGAAATGTTTATGGAGAGAGCTGCAAGACCACATAACAGCACACTTCTGGGTGTGATTTTAACATAATTATTTTTCCAAGATTTTTTTCTTACGCCTGAGCACTTTTCCTCCCCAGCTCCCTACCCTTTGCAGTTGTTAGAAATTCTAATTTTCATCAAATACTTAGGTTTACATAGAAGCCGCTTGTGTCTGTGGGTGGTTTAAGTTTTATAGGTTGTTTTTGACACAAAGAGCCCAATCTTAAAAAATATGTATTTACTGCTCCCCTTCCCAGCATGAATGTTTTGGGTACATGCCTAAACAACAAATTGAATTGATTTTCAGTGATTTTCTACCAAGATTGTGATGAAGGGAAGCAATTGGTTCAGGCAGAGGCTAGGACACTAAGACACAAACAGGTGTGAATAGGGCGGCTGAGCAGGATGCCTCAGCAGTCTATAAATCCTGGTGTTGTAAATTAGCTGAAAACCCTACTTTGGGTACACAGCCAACACATCTTCTGTGTGCAAATTGAAAGTTTAAAATGGGAAACAAATGTTGAGCTGGATGCAGAAGCAGCGAGGGAGCCTGGCCCACCTGGTGGAGCTGAGAGGATCCAGGAATCAGTGGAAAATGGGGAGGAAAGCTGTAAAAGGGAGCGGCAGGGGTGCCTGGACCAAGTTAGGCCCCATCCAGGTATCTGGACAAGATTCCAGAGGGTAGAGCCCTGGAGGTGATGGACAGTCGATGAAGAAGTGAGGTCTGGGCTGAGGTGGGCAGATGCCAGGCCAGGGTTCATTCTGCTGCTGGGAGAGCAGGGCACCCCATGGCAGGAGTCTGGGATGAGGCCACTAAGTCAGATGGCCTGAGCTGATGGCACTTAGAGGCATCTGTCCAGGTGGAGGTCAGGGAAGGTTTGTGGTTTCTGTTTCTGACATCTGCCCCCTTTGGACAGGCATCTGGCCCAGAACCCTTTCATCTGCGACTGTAACCTCAAGTGGCTGGCGGATTTCCTACGCACTAACCCCATTGAGACAAGCGGGGCCCGCTGTGCCAGCCCCCGACGCCTCGCCAACAAGCGCATTGGGCAGATCAAAAGCAAGAAGTTCCGGTGCTCAGGTAGCCGCCTGCCCACCTGCTCATCTGTCTGTCTGCCTGCCATCTGTCTTCCGTCTGCTTAGGGCCCCAGTAATCCTTCTGGAGTGGCCCCAGGAAGGATGTCCTTGGCTTGCTGGACCCCTACAGGAGGGTGGAGAGGCCCCGAGTTCTAGTGTTGAGCCTGGGTGGTTGTTCAGTCCCAGTGCTCATTTCACTGAGGGCTGGAGGAGAGGGGGACTTGCTGCAGGTTCCAGAGCGAGGACTCAGACAATGGCCCAGTGCCCTCTAATCCCAGGCCAGCTCTCTCTCCTGCCATTGCTTTCAAGTCTTTTAAGACACATGAGAGGCTGGGAAACACTCACCAGTGAGATAGGAGCTGCCCCTAGGCTCTGAGACAGCAAGAATGGTCCCAGCAACTGCAATCAGCCCGGCACTTGGCTGGGAACGAGGTAGCCACCTTCTGAGTTCAGGTCCTGTCTGGAGCCTGACCCACTGCTGCCCATGCCCTTCTGTGAAGGTAGCACAGGCCCTTGTCTTGTGTTACTACAAGGCGAGTTCCAGTGGTTTGTGACATTCCTTGAAAGAGATTTTAGTTGAGTATGACCTTGGCGTTGGCCTGGGCAAACCATCTGTGCACCATAGCAAGACCTTCTCAACACAGAGGCTGGGCAGAAGGGCCCTGGGGCCATTTTCACTGGGCGGTGGGGCCAGGGCCTGTTCTGTTCCTGTGGGTCCTGGATGATACCATCATCATGCTGTTTCTGCTTCTCTCTCCAGCCAAGGAGCAGTATTTCATCCCAGGTAGGAGAGCGGGGGAGCCAAGGCCAGCCTGGGAGGTGGGTGGCAGTAGTGAGTGGGCAGAGGTTGGACTCTACGCTGAGGGGACATGGAGGCCTGCCAGCCAGAGGCTCCTGGGAGCCTGCCCCAGCCCTCAGACCCAGGCCATGCCCTTCCCTGCAGGCACGGAGGATTACCAGCTGAACAGCGAGTGCAACAATGATGTGGTCTGTCCACACAAGTGCCGCTGCGAGGCCAGCGTGGTGGAGTGCTCCAACCTGAAGCTCACCAAGACCCCTGAACGCATCCCCCAGTCCACGGCCGAGTTGTGAGGGGCCCCCTTTACCTAATCCTCCCTGGACCCACCTTGGGCTTTTCTCTGGTCCTGCCCTGTTTGGAGGCCCACCAGAGACCCCACCCCAGGAGCCGTTGGGCTTGGCGGGAGGCAGGGCCACTCCCTTCCTGCAGCCCCTGCTTCTGACTCCCAGCCCTACACTCCCCTCACAGCAGATTGCAGCACCCAGAGCAGGTCACCAGCCTGTGCAAGGAGTGGCCTTTGCCTTCTTTGGGGGAGAGGCTTGATCCCATTAGCTCAAGTTTGGTATTAAACGATCCTTTTAGCTGTATATGTGCATGAACACTGCACACATTGGTCATTTATTTATGCAAATTTTTATGGCAGTTTTAATGCCAAAATCCTTCCATCTACCCCCTAGCACTAGGCTGAAACTCCCTTTGGAATAAGATCAGTTTGGCATGCCAACTAAATTCTTTTGGGAGTCCCAACCATTGGAGTCCCAAATGTTTTCATTTCAGAGGGTACTCTAATATCTATCACTTAGAGATGTGCAAAGGAGCCCTCGTAGTGCAGTGGTTAAGTGCTCAGCTGCTAACCGAAAGCTTAGCAGTTCGAACCCAACAGTGGCTCCCTGGGAGTGAAGACCTGCAATCCACTCCTGTAAAGATTATGGTCCAGGAAACCCTATGGGGCAGATCTACTTTGTCCTGCAGTGTCGTTGTGAGTCAGAACAGACTAGACAGCGCCCAGCAACGTGGATGTGTCATTCTCTTCTTTGCCTCTTGCAGACGTTTGAACAACAATGAAATTTCCATCCTGGAGGCCACTGGGATGTTTAAAAAACTTACACATCTGAAGAAAATGTGAGTCAGCCTTGGAGGGCAGATGCAGTTGGGTTGCTGGCCCCTGGGATGGGGTCGGGGGTGGGGGGCTCCCAGTGGGGGCAGTGATCCAGTGCATGGGGAGGGGGGTTGGGTGCAGGAAGAGAAAGCCCTGAGCCCCAGGGTGCAGGTGTCCGTAATCCTCCCCTACTCCTCTCCCCAGTAACCTGAGCAACAACAAGGTGTCAGAAATCGAAGACGGGGCCTTTGAGGGCGCAGCCTCCGTGAGCGAGCTGCACCTGACCGCTAACCAGCTGGAATCTATCCGGAGTGGCATGTTCCGGGGTCTAGATGGCTTGAGGACCCTGTGAGTGTGCGGGGCCGGGGTGGCTGGATGGGCCAGCTGCCCTGAGTGGGGCAAAAGCCAAGCCTCAGTGTGGGGTGTATGCATTCCAAAGAAAGGAGGAGAGAGGGTGGGAAGCCTTTTCCCTAAGCTTGCAGGAGAAAGGGGGCAGCCAAGGACCCTGACTGTGGTGGGGACAAATGGCCAAATGTCAGCAGCTCATAGAGAAACCTGTTCTTGCTGTTTCCTGGGATGTGGGGTTGGTCCCTGGTGAGAGAATGGAAGGATGGAGGCCCCTCTGGCTGTCCTGTGGTCAGCCACACACGTGTTTAGGAATGGCCAATACTACTGTAGGCAGGAGGGGCTGGATGACCATGTGGCAGGGACATTGCGGCGGGACTCAAGTGGGTATAGACAGGGGCGCAGGGATGTTGGATCGTCCCTGCTATTCTGTGATCCTATAATTCAGAATCCAGCCAGATCTAACTAGACACAGGTGCTCAGTAAGATCCTGAGATCACCCACCCCTCCCTGAATCTGCAGGGAGACCCCTCCCTGCCCAAGCAGCACTGGCTCTTCACCTGATCATGTGGATGCTCAGAGTGTCCAACAGATAATGCCACTCAACAGGACTTCTGCAGCAGTGGCAACGCACTGTATCTGTGAGGCCCAATCCAGCGGCCACACGTGGCTACTGAGCACTCAGGGTGGCTAGTGCTATCGTTTCTGTTGTTAGGTAGCATCGTCTTGGCTCCGACTCATAGAGACCCTCTGTGCAACAGAATGAAATGTCCTCACAATCAGTGCTACTGAGGCACTGAATTTTCATTTCATTTACTGATTTAATTTAAATTGCTGCTGTGGCTATCGGCTGCTGTACTGGATGACAACCAGTACATATCTAGGTTATCTAGAAGCAACCTCCTAAATTTAAATCCCAGCTCTGCAGGAGGGCTCTAGGTTTGCTTTCTGAGCACATAGAGTTGAATTTGTGGAAGGTGAATAAATGTGTGATGGGACTTCCCGTAGATTTTTATTTGTTTGTTTTACAGAAAGGGATTTGACTGTGCACTTTGTTTAGAGCTTGCTTTTCTCAATTGTCGACATAGCCTGGCCGTCTTTCCAGGCTGTTCACAGAGGACTGCCTCATGCTTCTTTATACTTGCTAAATATTCTTGAATGAGGGGGCCATGCGCTATTTAACCAGCCCCTTTGTCCTTCCAGGAAAGACTTGGATAGGGACAGAGAGAGGAAGGGCAAGCACTGGGGCAGAGAAAGATGTAGAGTCAAGGCACGTGAGTGAGGTGCAAGGCAAGGAGCAGAGATCCCCATAATGCACCAACTATCCAGAGAGCTCTGGTGGTGTGGTGCCTAAGGCATTTGACTGCTAACCAGAAGGCTGGCTGTTCAAACCCACCAGCCACTCCTCAGAAGGAAGACTGGACAATCTACTTCCGTAGAGCTACTGCCTCAGAAGCCCAAGGTGGGGTCACTATGACTCAGAACCACTCAACGGCAGTGGGTTTGGTTTATATATCATGTAATTATTGGAAATCAAGGCTGTTTCCAATGTGTTTTTATTCCAAGCAATGTTGTGATTGTTATAGTGTCCCTTCAAGTCAATTCCTACTCGTGGTTACCCTATAGGATAAAATAGAACTGTCTCATAGGGTTCCCTAGACTGTAGTCTTTATGTAAACAGATGGTCCTGTCTTTTCTCCCATGGAATGGCTGGTAGGTTTGAACCACCAACTTTTCAGTTATCAGCCAGACACTTAACCCTTGTCACCAGGGCATTTTAATATTGTGATTAGTATCTTTATAATTAAATTCTGTGTCCATCCATGATTTTTCCTTTATGGTAAATTCCTAAAAGTGGACTTGACAGGGGAAAGCATAAAGCATCTTTCAGGGATCTTGATGCTTAGAACTAAGTGTGCCCCAGACAGGCCTCAAGTCCTTCTCCTGCCAGCAGGTGTGCAAGTGCTCACTGGCCCTCATTCCTGTGACTCTGGTGTGATGTTTTAATCTGGCAGGCAAAGATTCAATATTGCTCACGTATTTGTCCTTGAACATTTTAATGAGTGTTCATAAACCAATTTAATTTCTTTCATGAATTGCCTATTCTGTGCTAGGCTTGTAGTTTTGTCTTTGGTTTTGGTTGGAGAGGGGAATGGAGCCAGGTTTTTAAGGATAATGATTTTTGCAGAGATAGATGAGGAAGAACATTCTAGCAAGAAACAGTAGCCTGGGAAAGGCTTGGTGATGTGACTAAGGGCAGCATGTGTAGAGGACAGGATGGTCAGGTGTGTGCTGAGCCCTGGGGAATGGGGCTGAGAAGATGGTCTGGGGCTGGTTGGGAGGGGGTCTCCCAGGCAACAGTGAAGAGTTTAAACATAATTCAGTGGGCAATTTGGAGGCCACTAAGGGCTGCAGGAGCTCTGGTGACACAAAGCCTAAGGTATTTGACTGCTATCCAGAAGGTTGGCAGTTCAAACCCACCAGCTGCTTCGTGAAAGGAAGATGAGTCATTCTACTTCCATAGAGATTTACTGCCTTGGAAACCCAATGGGGGTAGCTCTGAGTTGAGCTCAACTGGATAGCAGTGAGTTTTGGGGGGTTTTTTTTATGGGCTGTAAACTGCAGAGTGGCTGGATTTAGGTTTTAAGGAAATATCTTGGGCATTGATGTGGAGCAAGGCTTAAAGGTAAGGAGAACCATTGGCCATCCAGGAAGTGAAGGTGAGGGCCAGATTAGGTGCCATCACCCAACTGGGTGGCGTAGAGAGGAAGGGCTAGAGTTCCGACACATTTTAGGGGCAGAGATGGTCTGGAGGTGAAAGCAAAACCAAACAAACCAAACTCACTGCTGTCAAGTTGATTGGACTCATAGCAACTCCTCTTTGGGTTTCCGAGGCAGCATCTCTACAGAACTAGATCGCCCGCTCTTCCTTCTGAGGAGTGGCTGGTGGATTTGAACCTCTAGCCTTCTGATTAGCAGCCAAACACCTTAGGCACTACACTACCAGAGCTCCTGAGGTGACAGCAGGTATGTAGAACTATCAGTCAAGCAGCAGAGGTCCACCTGGGTTCACGATTCCCCCCTTGTGGCTCAGTGCCCCCGGAGGAGAATTTGTGAACTGGCGAGTGGTGGCCAAAGCCACTCGTGCAGACAGATCCAGCCTGCGGGATACAGCGCGGAGCCCCGCCTCCTCCCTCACTGCCTCCCTCCCCTGCAGGATGCTGAGGAACAACCGGGTCAGCTGCATCCACAATGACAGCTTCACGGGTCTGCGCAACGTCCGGCTCCTCTCACTGTACGACAACCAGATCACCACCATCTCCCCCGGAGCCTTCGACACCCTCCAGTCCCTCTCCACGCTGTAAGTCCCAGCTCTTCAGGGACAGGCGAGCCATCTGGACCCCAGGAACACCACCCCCATCCCTAGGCAGCTGAATGCTGGGCCAGAGCAGAGGGCTTTGGAGCTGGGCTCGAATCCCAGCTCCAGCACTTTTTATCTGTGTGGCCTCAGCAAAGCCTCTAAGCTCCCTGAGCCTCAGTTTCCCTGTCTATGTAACAGGGGTAAGACCACCTATTATGTTGGGTTATTGTGAGGATTAGATATAATTGCTAAAGGAGGCGTCTATGGCTGACCTGGGGCTGGAGGTGGTGGGGTCTGGGGTCTTTAGGAAGCTGAACTCACTTCCCTACCATCTTTACAAGGCTCTTCCTTTACAAAAAGGCCCAGTTGAAGTGGGCACTTCTGCCCAAGGGGCCTTGGTATTGCCAGCTTCCTGTTGGGATTTGCAGTTAACCAAGGACAACAGGCCCTTTTTGCCATTTCTGTAAGAGACAGGGGAGAAGAGGAGAAGGAACTTTGGGGCCACAGGCCTGGGTGTACTTACTTACACCCAATACTTACTGTGGGTTTTTGTCAAGTAAGTTTCTTCACTTCTCTGAGCTTCCATTTCTTCATCTGTGAAATGAAGCTGTTACTATTCACCTATATCCTCATGTTAATGTATACACAGAACTTAGTTCAGGGCCTGGTACACAAAACACATTCAGTCAGTGTTCTCTGCTATTATCGTGAGGGTAGTGGTGGTAGGTATGGGACTGCTGGAACAAACAAGTCTGTCTGGGAGGAAGTACAACCAGAATGAATGTGAATTAGAAGTGAGAATGGCCAGATTTCACCACACACACTTTGGTCATGGTGTTGGTGGGACCAGTCCCTGGAGAAGTATGCTATGTTTTAAAGGGTCAGTGAAAAAGGGGAAGACCCTCAAGGAGATGAATTGGCTGCAATGAAGGGCTGAGGTATGGCAGGGATTGTGAGGCTGGCACAGGACTGGGCAGGGTTTCATTCTGTTGTACACAGGGACGCTATGAGTCGGAGCGGTTACAGTGTTAATTATTATTATTGTAGCAGCAGAAGTAGCCCCATTATTATTATGGTTACTCTGTGTGGCTGGCAGAATAATGACTTCCCACAGATGTCTCATTCCTTACATGAAGGAAGCGGGAGGCAGAAGGGTCCAAGTCAGAGTGACACTATGTGAGAAAGACTCAACTGGCCATTGCTGGCTTTGAAGATGGAGGTAGGGGCCGTGAGCCAAGGAATGCAAGCAGCTTCTTGAAGCTGGAAAACGCAAGAAAGTGAGTTCTCCCACAGAACCTCCAATGAGGAATGCAGCCCTGCCAACACCTTGATTTTAGCCCAATGAGACCCCTTTTGAAATTCTGACTCCTAGAACTGTAAGATAATACGTTTGTATTGTTTTAAGCCACCAAGCCTGTGGTGATTTGTCATAGCAGTAATAGGAAACTAATACATACCATAAACAGGAGCTATTTTTACTGTTATTCTCCCTGGAGGTCAGGATGTAAACTTCAACCCTGAAGCAGGAGTTTGACTGGGGAGACAACACCTCAGTCTGAGAGCAGCAGGACAGTCTGCAGGAGGGAAGGAGAGCAAGAGGCTGAGGAGCAGGGTCCGACTTAAACCTTCGTGACTCATTCAGCTCCTTAGGGCAGGACAGGCTGAGGGGAATTGGGTCACCACTGCCCATGCTCTTAACCTCCCTCTCTGTCCGTGAGGCAGGTAGCACTCAGGCCAACAGGGGGACAGCTCTCCCTCACAGCCCTGCCTCAGTCCTGGGGTGGCAGGTTGCAGAAATTTTGGAAAACTCTCTGAGAATGTGCTGGTGGGGTTCATGATGTCCCAGGCATCTAAGAGGGACCTTTGGAGTTGGTGGGAGTTGATGGTTGGCTTTTGGCTGAGGGTGTGTATGAGACTGGAAATTCAGAGCCCATCTGATCAGACCCAAGGGCTTGAGAAAAGCCAGGAAGGGGTCCAGCAGGCCTCCCCACTTGCCCTCCTAGATTGACTCTCCCCAACCCCACCTTAACTTCAGACTGTACAAGGCCCTGGGTTTGATTTAATGCAAGAAACGGCTGCAAGCCTTTTCAATGTAAAAGCTGCATGTGCAGCAGATGAAGGTGATGGTGATGGAGAATCTGTGTGATTAGAGATTAGTTCAGTTGTTTTAAAACCCACTGCCATTGAGTCAATCCAACTCCTCGTGACCCTATGGGACAGAGGAGGACTGCCCCATAGGGTTTCCAAAGCTGTAAATCTTTACAGAAGCAGAGTGCCATATCTTGCTCCTGTGGAGTGGCCAGTGGATTCAAAGTACTAACCTCTTGGTTCACAGCCAAATGCTTTAACCACTGAACCACCAGAACTCCTTAATCGTTTTAAAATAAATTTGTCCAATTTATATAATATTAAAGGGCAAATACAACTTTTCCATAAGTGGGATGTTTGTAACCCAAGGACTGCCTGTATTCACAAACTTGTGCAACTACCACCACTATCTAATTCTCAAATATTCTCATCATTCCAAAAAAGAAATCCCGTATTCATTAATAGGCATTCCACATCTCTCCCACCAAGCCCCTGACAACCACTAATCTACTGTCTATTTAGGTAGTCCATTTAAATAGAATTATATAATATTTGTGCATTTGTGTCTGGCTTCTTTCACTTAGCATAATGTTTTCAAAGTTCTTCCATGTTGTACTATGTGTCAGTACTTCATTCTTTCTATGACTGAAAAATATTCCATTGTATGGCTATACCACATTTTATTTATCCATTCATCAGTTGATAGGCATTTGGGTTGTTTCCTCTCCTTCTTCTTCTTCTTCTTTTTTTTTGCTACTGTGAATAATATGAATATTCATGTACAAATTTTTGTGTCAATGCACGTTTTCAACTCCTGGGTATATACCTAGGAGTTAATTGTCAAGTCATATGGTAACTCTATGTTTAACCTTTTGAGGAATTTCCAAACTGTTTCCACAATGACTGCACCATTTTATAAGCCCATTTGGTCTGTTCCTGAGATGCCTATCTCACAGTTTAAAACTGAAGAGAGCGAAGCCTGGATCTGATAAGAGATAGGGCTTTAACCAGCACACCAGAATGCACAGATCCAAAAAAGTAGATGACCCCTGAAGGCATTCCTTCGAAGGTTATCATCACTCAACCAGGATCCTCCCTTAGGAATTATTGCAGTGTCTGGAAGAGATCCTTGGGGAAGTCAGTGACATTTGAGAGCAGAACTGATTTGAGGGTGTTATTTGGCCTCCGTTCTGGTGGTGAGTTAGTCCCACTTAGGACCACATTTGAGGATGAGCAAAGATGGACACTCAGCATGGAGAATAAGCAGATTATAACTTACTGCATCAGGGTTAAAGGGTCCAGTTTTCACAAAGAGCAGATAAGGTCACAAAGCAGGGTGCTCAGTGAGTGTGGTTTCCCGGGCCTCCAGAGTTCCTCCACCAGAGATGGCTTGGGTGGCCAAGCTGAAGGCCAACCTGGGTTGGGTGTGGTCATGACTGGTGGCAAGAAATCCCAGGCTGGCAGCTTCCCAAGTTCTTGAACCCCTTGAGGCATATCACCCAGAACATTCGTCACGGTTGTCAGGAGTGCTTTGGGAAATTCATGTTACCCAGATGCAATGTCTGTATCCCAGGCAATTTCTGAGCGTGTCACTGGAGCTGCAATGCTACTTCATCCATGGGTTACAGAGCAGCGGCTGGCAGCTCACATGCACAAATACATCACAGCCATGTGACGGCGAGGGGCTGTGGTCATGCAGCATCAACTGCCTAGCTTCCTGCAGTAAGACTCAGCCGCCACCCTGGAGGGTGATGGCTAATTTAGTTTTGACAGTAGTTGGTTAGATGCCTTAGAGTTTGAGGATATCACAGAGGCCTCTGTCTTGTTCTCTGGGATAGTGTTGGAGTAGTATTCAGCTACCCTTGGAGAACAGTGGTCTTGAGAGTTGGGGGAAGGCAGAAAGGATTCTGGGTTTCTTATGTGGCTCATAGACCAGCTTGCACAGCCCCTCAGAAAGGAGTTCGAGGGGCAGCTGAGCAGGGCCAGACTGACTGGATGGGGATGATCCTCTTGAGTGATTAATCTAAAGACCTCACTCCAGGAGGGACAGCTCCTTACAGTTCATTGAAGCAGGGTCTCCCCACTGTAGATGTCAGTGAACCCTGCCTCCAGAGTCCAGAGAGTCCATCTTGGTAACTGTTGGTTGTCTGGGAAGAGTGGAGGGTGCTGTGTGGCCAGTACATGGCAAATCCTACAGTGGTAGACAGGAAAGGGCTCTGCTGGGAATCTCAGACCAGCAGGTGTCTGCTGTAGTCCCATGACCCTCCTTTTTCAGAAACCTGCTGGCCAACCCTTTCAACTGTAACTGCCAGCTGGCCTGGCTTGGTGACTGGCTAAGGAAGAGGAAGATCGTGACGGGGAACCCACGGTGCCAGAACCCCGACTTCTTGCGGCAGATCCCCCTGCAGGACGTGGCCTTCCCAGACTTCAGGTGTGAGGAAGGTAACTCGTGGGCCTCTTGGGCAGCTGGGCAAGGGTGAGCTGAGGCTACTCTGACAGGGTGGGGCATGTCAGGAAGAAGGGCATAGGTGGGCAGGGTAGGTGGGCAGAGCCCTTGATGTGCAGCTGAGAGGAGGGGTCTGCAGGGAAGGGTGAGGGACAAGGAGAGCCCCTCTTACTCTCATGCCTACCCCTGCCTGGTGGTGTCATTGTGCAATTAGAAGAGCAATGATGTACTAGTTATTAAAATATGAGAAAGTAGGGTTGAAAGAAGGAAGTAAACATAACCTATTTTCTCATCATTCGGAGGAAATCACAGGCAACATTTTATAACCTGAAAAAGTTATTTAACCTTTATGTGGTTATTTAACCTTTATAGATCTCAATAAAAGGGAAATTCATTCATTAAAAAAATACATTTGGAGGGCTTCCATGTGCCAAGCTAGCTGTGTAGGCTCTAGCAGTGAGCAAAGAGAAAAAAGATACACATTTCTGCCTCATGGTGCTTGCAGTCTAGGGATGATATGGCACCCCTTTAATAGGTTGTTAAGGACCGTGTTAGATTAGTGTCTGGCACACAATGGGCATCCCCCCAAATGGCCTCCTCTCCACACCAAGGTCCACCTTGGGTCTGAGTTGGAGGAGATCCACCCAAGTGTACTTTAACCTCAAAACAGGTTCTGGGGGCTTTGGCCCTGGTTGGAGGTGAGTACAGCAAAGAGGAAATATGTAGAATCTGGTGGCCAAGGTGCTGTCAAGGAGGGGCTTCTGTTCCGAGAGAGTCACGGAGCCTGGCTCCAGCTGCAGGAGGTCTTAGGAAGGCCACCAACCTCACTGACCCTGGCATCCTGCCTTCCTCCCTAGGTCAAGAGGAAGGGGGCTGCCTGCCCCGCCCTCAGTGCCCCCAGGAGTGCACTTGCCTGGACACCGTGGTCCGATGCAGCAACAAACACCTCCGGGCTCTGCCCAAAGGCATCCCCAAGAACGTCACGGAGCTGTGAGTAGCTCACAGAGATCCCATGGGGTTGGAGTGCAAAGAACACTTCCTGAGGGGCTGGGCCTGGCAGTGGCAGGAGGAGGAGGTCCCCAAGAGCAACTATTAGCTGCCTTTGATCTTGGGGCTAGAGCTTTGCAGAAAACACCAGTTCCAAGAAAGCTTTGAGCTTCTTCTGGAGTCCCTGCTGTAGGAGCACCTAATGGCACTAGCATCCACAACGAATGCTCACTCCTTTGAATTCAGCTCTGCCTCAGTGCTTGGCTGCTATCCAAAGGTTGGCAGTTCGAATCCACCCAGAGGCTCCATGGAAAAAAGGCCTGGATATCTGCTCCTGTAAAGATTACAGACAGAAAACCCTATGAGGGCAGACCGACCCTATCATATACAGTCACTATGAGTCAAAATCAACTCCATAGCACCCAACAACAGCAACCCAAAATATCTGCAGTTTAAAATTTAGAACACATGGACCTCACTTTAAAGAAGACAACTAACCAATAAGCTCTGCCTTTAAAATAAGAAGTAATAAGACTTCTTCCACTTGACGTCCGAGCATTCCCCTCAGTCATCGGCTCTCACATGTGGATTTTACCAATCCCCTGATGTCCATCATGAATCTTTCATGAGCTATCAAACCAATCCCCCATTGCTGGGTATTCAAGTTGTTTCTGATTTTTTACTATCATCAACAACCCATCAATGAACTGCTGGCCAAAGAGTGTACGTCTCTAGGACCTCCCAGGAAGACTGGATCCCCTGCCCTCCTATCCGCGGTGTGTGAATAGGTGTACGCTGCCCTCTCTTCGGCACCGGGTATTGTGACGTTCAAGTCTTTACTGATTTGATATCCATGCTGCTTTGAGTGTCGGTGCAGATTACATGCCAAACAGAGGGAGGAAGGCTAGGGCTTCTTCAACGGACACCTCCAAATGGATGGTCAGTTCGTGAGCTCTTCCTATGTCCTGGGATGGATCACCCCAGGCCTCAATGGCGGAGTTTTCCCTTCCCTGTGGTGAGCACATGAGGTTTTCATTTGTATTTCTTTCATGACCAGTGAGGCTGCCCATTTCTTCATGAGCACACTGACCACAGCCATCCTTCTCCTGTGACTGGCCTGCCCATCCTTTGCCCAGTTTTCTGTTGTAGGGTTAGTGCTCTACAAACCTTGTGTGACCATGTTTTCACCTTGATGCTTAGGCAGCCCTAGGAATATAGGGATGGATGGGCCAGTCTGGCTTTTTGACAGGAGCAGCTGAACTTTGGAAAATCCCTGGACTTCTCTAAGCCTCAGTATCCTCAGCTGTAAAATGGGGCTACTTAGTTCTATTGACAAGGGCAGCCAAGAAGATCAAATGAGACGGGAGCAGGAAGTCCCTCTGAATAACGCAGAGTGATGGGTGTGGATGAGTAAAACCCTGCTGTTGTTGCCACTGGCTTCGCTGAATTTTGGGGGGGGGGGGCAGTGAGGGCGGTGGAGGTGGGCTGCAGTTGGTGGGAGTCCTGTGCCAGTTCCTGACTCATGTGTCACTGCTTAGCAACTTCCACTTACAAGGCCAGGATAGCTGATGGAGTGGGGTCAGGTTTAGAGCATCTTGAATACCAAGTGTTGGGCTTAGAAGGAGTTGTGGTGGGCTTGGTTCTAAGAGAGATGACTTAGGTGGCCATGGATATAGTGGACTCCAGAGGGAAGCCAAGATGGGAGAATGGAGGAGGCTGCTTTAAGAACCTGGGCTTGAGTGAAAGTGTGCATTCAGGGTGATGTGAAAGGGACCGGTGGGAGGAGCCACCTCAGGGCCTGGGACTGGCTGTAGAGGGGAGCTGGAAGCAGATGGTTAGGGGAAGCTGCTTTGGGTGGAAACACTGAGTTCAGGTTTGGGTCTGTCTGGGTCTGGAGCTTCCACAGGAGGGGCCTCGCACCCTGTGTGAGCAGGTACGGGAAAGACCTGGTGGAAGGTGGTTCTGAGAGGTAGTAACATGCAGATCAGATCTATGTAGCCCAGAGAGGAGCAGGCCCAGAGGAGAGAACAGCGCTGGAGCTGAGCCCCAAGCAGGGCCTATGGACAAGGAGGGAGGCTGAGAGGGCAAGTCAGGGAAGTAGGAAGGAAACCAAGAAAGGCTGCATGTCTCAGTGGTTTTTACCAGGTTCTCCAGGTGGCATCTACCCAAATGGCCCCCAAATTTACCTATTTCCTCTTCTGATAGTGATTCTGGGCAGGTTGTGGTCGACATCTACCCCACTGCAGTTGAGTCAGATCCAACTCATAGCGACCCCTCCTTGGGTTTCTGAGGCCGTACCACTACGGAAGTAGATTGCCCTGCCTTCCTTCCGAGGAGTGGCTGGTGGGTTTGAACCGCCAGCCTTCTGGTTAGCAGTCAAGTGCCTTAGGCACTACACCCCCAGAGCTCCTGTGGTCTACATATAGGGGAAGAAATGAGTGAGGAGGTCTTGGCTGCAGGGGAATGGTCTCCCTAGCACCTGAGCACTGCCAGAGGTCGAGATGGGGGCACTCACCCTGCTGTGTTCTCTCCTGCAGCTATTTGGATGGGAATCAGTTCATACTCGTCCCAGGACAGCTGTCCACCTTCAAGTACCTACAACTTGTGTGAGTATCCAGACTTCGCTTGGATCCAGGACCTGCCTCAAAGGACAGGAGGAGCACTGGCACCTAACTGCGTGGCTCCAGCCACGCTGGAATTTCCTAGAGACTCAGCTGCTAGGCAGATCCCACTCCCTTCCGGAGACACCCCTGCATAGAGCTGTTTTGCCACCTAGTGGCCATGCTTGTGACTTGCACTGTTCTAGTCTCACCTGGGTGGGACCCTGTCCGCTTCTGCTCCTACTGTCTCCTCAAACCTCCTCTAGGCTGATAATTATTGTTACTGATAGTCAGCCTTGTAAGAGTAGGGGCCAGGGAAGAAGTACAGGGTAGTGGAAAACGTTTTCTCAGCCCCACCTTGGTACCCAACTAAAGTATGATGTTGTTGTTGTTGTTATATGCCATAGAGTTGGACCCGACTCATAGCGACCCCTCCTTGGGTTTCTGAGGTGGTGTCACTACGGAAGTAGATTGCCCAACCTTCCTTCCGAGGAGTGGCTCGTGGGTTTGAACTGACAGCTTTCTGGTTAGCAGTCAAGTGCCTTAGGCACTACACTACCAGAGCTCCCAAAATTTGATATATGGCAACTAAAAATATACATCCGTAACTGAGTTTTTCTTCAGTCCAGCTTCTATTATTGCTTCTGCTGACCCTTTTTACACTACAAGAAAGCAAAAAGTAAGCCTTAAGAATAAGTTCAGTTCCTCTTAGTCTTACAGGGTAATTCTTCACTCTAGTTTTCTTTACTCATTGGCCAGGTTCTACCGAGGAGAATTTCAGAGAACATTCCATCTTAGTGTTGCTTGGGACAGTGCTGCTAAAAGTGTGGTTTATGGACCAATGTCAGTCCAAGAACTATTTGTTATGGGTCTTAAATTAGATGAGGAACTTGCAAAAAAAAAAAAAATGTAAATCAATGTACTACTTCCTTCATCAAGAAAGTGTTGCCAAATTTTTTTTAACTAAATTCACTTGTTTGCTTAGTGACCTAGCGATTGCATTCTGACACACGGTCTTTATCTTGCTGTGGACAGTAACATGCTCTTCAAGGACTGACTACTTTGAGTAGCACTGGCTTAGAGAGTTTTGCAGCTCCAGTATACATCTTTGCTAATGACCTAGTGAATTTGTTTTCAGCATTCCAGATAGGGAATAGAGTGATCAGTGGCTGGTGACCAAGTACCAAAGAGAGGGACTTAACATGACAAGTTTCCCCAAACTTTCTTTGATCTAATTTGAGGCACTTGTGCTTAGGCTACACATGAGGAGGAGTGGAGGGGAAAGGAGACTAATGCCAGGCTGGTACTTACTATGAAAACTGCCTCTTGGGGGCCAAAATACTACCATGTCTTCATCACAAGGAAGAACCACAAAGCATATTGACCATTCAATACAATTCTTAAACGTATGTCTAAAAACAATGGAAATATTTTTAATGTGATTATGGAAAGGAAAATTTACTAAGAGAAAATAAAGGCAGGAGACATTGATTCATTTTACAAACATTTATTGACCCATGAGCTACGTTAATAAGCAGATGTGACAGCCCCTAAATCACAGACTTTCCTCCAGAATGCTAGGGGTGAAGGAGATATAGGAGAGAGGAATGGAAGCAAATAAGGTTATGTAGCATACCTAAGTGCTCGGACAGAGGTAAATGTAGACTAGAGGTGTGGTTCAAAGAAGGGTGGGAAGCTGGGGGAGAGGAATGGCTTGGAAAACAAATTAGAGTTCACTAGCTGGGCATCGGGAACAGTATATCCAGAGGCACGGAGGTATGGTATGCTCAGAGAATTTAAAGAAATTTAGTAAAACCAAAGCCTGAAAGGCATGAAGGGAGTCCTAGGAATGAGAGACAGGAACCAGACCAAGGAAGACCTGACAGGTAGCTAGACTACGGGGTCTGGAGGTCATACTTCAGACAAAGGGGAGCCACTGAAGGTTCTTTGGTAGGGAAGTGACCTGGTCAGATTTTGTCATAGAAAGATTGCTGTGGTTTCCACCCATGCGGAAGATGGATTGAAATAGGGCATAGTTGTGGGTGGAGAGATGAAGTCCAAGGTAGATGCCAGATGAGAAATGGTGGCTTGACATCAGCAGGGACTTAGGAAGAGGGGACAGATGTGAAACATGTACAGAGACACATGCAAGACCTAAAATTTAACATGAGTAGAATGAAATAGAGGAAATATGGACAGGGCTGTTTCTGCGTTCATTGTTGGAGTTGTTAACTGGGAGGAGCATAGCACAGGAAGCAGGGGTGGAGAAAGAACAAGATTTGGACTTGACTTTGAGGTGCTGTAGGACATGAGGTGGAGGAAGTGCTTACGAGAGAGGGTGATAATGGCAGTCCTGTCCCATGATGTGAGGGAAGCCAGGAGCATCCCTCGGGGTACCCAAAGCGCATTAAAGAAGAAGAACAAGGAAAGGCCTTAGTGATCCCCAAGCTTAATGGCTAAGAAAGAATCATTCACCCAAGACTAAGGAGTCATGGCCAAAGAGGAAGGAGGAGAACGGGAGGATGTGAGGGGTTCGAGGGAAGAGAAGGTTTTGAGAAGAGGCACAAGGGTGATCAGTCATGCCAAGATGCTGCCTGGTCACTCTGGGAGCACACGGTGACCTGTGGTTTGCGGAAGATGGACTGGGGTTTGAATCCAGCTCTACTTCCAGGAACCAGCTGAGTTATTTAATCACTCTGAGCTCATGGCTTCATTGTAAAATGGGTTTACTGTCTCCCTCTTAGGACTGTATGGAGGACTAATAAATTAGCCTCTGATAAGTGCTAGCCAGAGAGAACAGAGATCTGGCAGTTGGGAGGTAGCTGGTGCCCTTGGTTAGAGCATTTCTGTGGTGTGAAGTGGCCAGGAACCAGGCTACAACCACAGTGGGCTGAGGCGAGTAGTTGGTGCAGAAATGGAGCTATGAAGCCCCAAGGACCTGGAAGGCGATCAGGAGCAGAGTGAAGGCTGTAGCTGACTGTGAACCAAATTCCTCTCCACCACCACCGCCCACTTCCATCTCTCCACCACCACTCCTGCCCCACCCTCCAGGGTGTCAGTTGGAGCCTCTGATCCACCTAGGTGGGGGACAAAAGAGTGTGTGGGTGGGGGGAAGAAACAGCCCATGAAAGTGAGTCAGGGTTGAGTTCTACTTTTATAAAGGATGATTTTCTTTGTCTTTTCTAGGGACCTGAGTAACAACAAGATCAGTTCCTTAAGCAATTCCTCCTTCACCAACATGAGCCAGCTGACCACTCTGTGAGTCCTCGCGGTGGGAGGGGAATGGGGAAGAGTGGCCGTGGCCACTGCAGATGGGTGGTGGTTGGTACTTCCTCCAAGCTGCAGCCTCTGCTGTGCACTGCTGCCCTGTCCGTCACTCGCAGAGTGTGCAAGGGCCTGCAGGTCTCAAAGACTGTTTAAAAGCATTTATTATTATTATTATGAAATGCAGCATATATACAGAAAAAGACAAAAAATATGAATACACAGTTTGACGATCACAAAGCTGGCACATGTGTAAGCAGCCCAAATGTCTCCCTCTGTCCCTTTCTGATCTTCTCCCCTGCTCACAGGTAACCCCTATTCTGACTTTTATTATGATCATTTCTGCAACTTTTGTTATAGTATTGCCATCGACATGTGCATTTCTATAAATGATACAGTGTAATTTTGCCTGTTTTTGAATCTTACATAAATTGAGTCATACAGTATATTCTTTTATGTCTGTCTTTGGCTTAACATGTTTATGAGCTCTGTCGTGTTGTTGCATGAAGCTGTGCTCTGTTCCTTTTCATGCATACATAGGATTCCTTTGTAGGAATATGTCATACTTTCCTAATCTGTCCATGATGGATATTTGAGTTGTCTCCAGTTTGGACTTTTGTGAACAGGCACTCTCCGAACATTTTCGCATCCATATTCTAAGATGTTTTAATGCTTGCTTTAATTATATTATAAGCAAGTGATCAGAAAGTATTAACCACTTCCCTTATATTTGCCTAATGCTTAAGAGTGTATCTTCTTCACCTTCCCAACACCCCACTTTACAGATCATGTGCCAAGAAGTGCAGGGACTTTCCCAAGGTTCCAATGCAGCCAAGCAGTAGGTCAGTAACCCAGAAGGGAAGGATCCCTGCCCCAGCCAGGCCACCAGGAGCAGAGTGTGGGCCTGAGGCCATCAAATGCCCCTTCTGCTTTAGCCTCCTGTACTTATCTGCCCCAGGGATCTACTAGTCAACTAATTTCTTGCTCAACGTCTCCATGGCGACCTGGCAACTTGATTGTTCATCCCTGGTGAGATTTGGCTTTGGAAGGACTCTCCGGGTCCCAGTGAGCCTTTTGTGAATCCTCCATGGTCTAAGGCAGTGGTTCTCGGTGAAAGGAGGGGAGCTTGCCTTGCAGGGGACTTTTGGCAATGTCTGAAAACACTTTTGTTGCCACAACTTAGGGAGTATACTGCCATCTAGTGGATAAAAGCCAAGGATGCGCTAAGCATCTACAATGCCCAGGACAGCCCCTGCAAAAAAAAAAAAAAAAAAAAAAAAAAAAAAAAAAAAAAAAAAAAAAAGATCCGGCCCAAAAGTCGGTAGCACCGAGATTGAAAACCATGGTCTAAATGATACTGGCAACTTTGCGGGAAAACAGAGCCATTTCCTGTGATATATCTCAGTACTCTTTATTATTTAAAAAATAGCTTTATTAAAGTATAATTCATCTTCAATAAACTTAACACATTCAAAGACTACAACTTGGAAAGTTTGGACATAAAGTATACCCAAGGAACCATCACCAAAACCGAGAGTTCCTTCATTCTCCTTGGTAACCTTCCCTCCTGCCCTCCCATCGCCCCCCAAGCAGCTGCTGATCTGTTGTTTGTCATTATAGATTAGTTTGCATTTTCTAGACTTTTCTATAAATGAGATCATGCAGTGTGCACTCTTTTTATATGGCTTCTTTCATTTAGTTTAATTATTTTGAGGTTCATTCATGTTGGTGCATGTATCAGTACTTTATTCTTTTTTATACCTAAGTAGTACTCCATGATATAATTTTACCCTAGTTTGTTTATCTGTTCATGTGTTGATTGACATTTGGATTATTTCCAGCCTGGGCTCTTACAAGCATCATTTCCTTCGTACTAATCTGCTTGTCTGGGCTTGTCTACATTTTATCTGTAGACATTTTAGGAGGGTGGTTTAGCTTGTGGACTCTGGAAACTGAGAAAGTGAATTGAACTCCCAGCTTACTAACTTAATAATTGTGACTCTGGGAAAGTGCTTTCACCTGTCAGATCCTCAGTTTCCTCATCTATAGGATGGGGATAGTAATAGTAGCATCTTCACCATCACAGCTCCCTAAAGGGTAAGTTGTTCCATGTCCCTGAACTTCAGCTGTCATTTGGAAGGGATGGTTGAGATGGTGGGCTCCTCCAAGGAGGCCCTGGCCCCTGTGTTGACTTCAGAGGGAATCCCTCCTGGGTCCCTTGCTGTTGCCACCTCCCTGAGGGAAATGCTCTCAACCACAGAACTAGCAACTGTCCTTTATTGAGGGTGCATTGCAGCCCGGCACTGTGCTAAGAGCCGGGTTTTCTCATGTAGGCCACAAAAGGACCCTGCAAAATTGGCATTATTGTTGTCACTACTTACGGTGGAGGGAACTGATTGTGGCATAAAGAGATTAGGGGCTATGCCCAAGATCACATGGCTTATTAGGGCAGAGCTGAGACTTGATGCAGGCAGCTGGGCCCTGCCTGCACTCTGATCCAAAGCTCTGCCTTACCTCAAAGAGCGCGAGAAGGCTGTTTTGCAAAATGATCCTGTGCATGTGAGGGCTTGGATGCGCTGTGCTGCCTGCCTGTCTGGGCCTCGGAGCACCGACGCTGGGCCCTTCCTTCCCTCCTGCAGGATCCTCAGCTACAACGCCCTCCAGTGCATCCCCCCACTGGCCTTCCAGGGGCTCCGCTCCCTGCGCCTGCTGTAAGTCTCTGAGCATCATTCTGCCCACAGAGGGCCCTGCCTCCCGTCTAGAGGGCATAAAGGACCCATTTCCGGGACCCCCATCAGAGCCAATGCTGTGCCCAAAGGTGGGAAATCAGTACATTCTCATTAAAGCCTCTTCAGAAGCCAAGTAATGAACAGGAAAATAGTTAAGAAATGGAGGTTGCAGTCTCTCCCAAGTTGTATTTGCTGTGTGTGTGTATGTATATGGGGAAGGTACCCAGGATAAGGTAGCTTTTCATTTGTATATGAGGCTCCTGTTCAGACTGAGACTATTTGCAAGAGATTTATGAACTATTTCTAAGAATTCCCATTGCCTTGTTATCAAAAGGAGCTCTGGTGGCCTAGTGCCTAAGGCATTTCACTGCTAACCAGAATGCTGGCAGTTCAAACCCACAAGTCACTCCTTGGAAGGAAGGTTGGGCAATCTACTTCCATAGTGCACCTCAGAAACCCAAGGAAGGGGTTGCTATGAGTCAAATCCGACTCCATGGCAGTGAGTTTGGGTTTTTTTGGTTTGTGATCAAAGCCCTCTGTTGTATCTGTTGTAATGCCTCTCACGATTTCATGCGTGAATCCTTTGTCAGCCCCGACCAGAACAAAGTGACATTCTTCCAGTCTTAGCCTGTGGCTGGTTGTACTAACTGCCTAACACGAGGAAGCCTCCTTCCCCTCAGGCCTAGAGGAGGAACACAGGTGCACACACTCCATTTATGAAACAAAGAGAGTGCTGAGGTTATTTGTTGTTGTTGTTATGTGCCAGGGAGTCAGACCCGACTCATAGCAACCCCTCCTTGGGTTTCCGAGGCAGTATCACTACGGAAGTAGATTGCCCAACCTTCCTTCTGAGGAGTGGCTGGTGGGTTTGAACCGCCAGCCTTCTGGTTAGCAGTCAAGTGCCTTAGGCACTACACCCCCAGAGCTCCCCTGAGATTATTTATGATAGCAAAAACAGAGTCTTCTTAAAGGACTGGAAGACAGGGTGGGCTGTCTGAATCACTGCCTTCTTCTTCCCCGTGTTCCGTAGGGCGGGAGCTTTGAGTTGGAGCCCTCTCCCTCATAGCACTGACTGAGGGATCTGAAGGATAAGCCCTAGTCCCCTCTCAGCAGAAAGCGGGGCTGTCCCTACTTCAGTTCTCCCATCTCTGCCTCTGAAGTGAGGTCCCAACAGCCTCTTATCTCCTCAGGTCCCTCCACGGCAATGACATCTCCACCCTCCAAGAGGGCATCTTTGCAGACGTGACCTCCCTGTCTCACCTGTAAGTAACTCTGGCCCAACTCTTTGGGTATCTTCGGATACTTAAAACAGAACATGGATTCTGGGAAAGACCTCATCTCCTGAGATGGTCAGAGCTTGTTGCTTTCATCCTGCAGCTGATAAGCTTGTGAACTTCAAATGTGCTCCCTCTGGGACTCTTACACATTCAGTAGTGGTTCATCTTCTCCAACAATGAAATACGACAACATTTCTTCACAAGCAATAATGAAGGTGGTAATGACCATTTACTGATTGCTAAGCACTTCACCTGCATTAACTAGTTTAATACTCACAGCGATCCTACAACATAGGCACTGCTATGCCCATTCTCCACACAAGGAAATGGGCCCCAGAAGTTTGAGGAGCTCACCCCAAGTTGCATAGCTGGTAGGTGATGGAGCCTTCTGACTCCAAAGGCCAGGCTCTTAAGCACTACATCAGCATCACACCTCTGACTTCACACAACAGGGAAAGGTTCCGGAGATTTAATACCCCAAGAAGTGGCATAACTGGATGTAGACTTGCTTCCCAAACCATTCATCTGGCAGCATCAGGAGGATTCTTAAGTAGTAGTAGGCTGTGGCAGGACCATCCTAGTCTGGAAATCAGACTGGGAGCAGGGCAGACACCTTCTCTTCCGAGGTCTCTTGGTGCTATTGTCAGAGTCAGCATTCAAACAGATGGGCTGGGGCTGGGACTCTGGGTGTTAGTCTGCTCTTGCCCTCTGCCCCACTCTCCAGCCAGGGGCTTGAGTGGGCAGACACACCCACGTCAGAGAGCGTTTTAGGGGTCCCAGCATCTCTTCTGGAAGTTCATTTACTCAACTATCTCACTGGATTTTCTCAGTTCTAAGACTTGCCTTTTCTGCATTTTAATCTATTTGAAATCAGAGTGTATTTTACAAATGAGGAGTACAATTAATGTGATAATGTTTCTCCACCTCTACTCTCCATCAAAACATATTAAATCAATGCTGCATGTCACAATCTCATACCTGAGGAAATAACATATTAATAGTTTCCATGCACTGAGGGTCTGCTTGGGTCAAATACTATATGCTCTGTGCTTTAGGTGGAGTGGCTCATTTACTCCACGACTGAGATGAGAAGTAACTTTTTGTTAGGCGCCAGCTCTGCATTCAGCAGGGACTGCCTTAAGCACCACACTGAGCACCACACCATGGTGAGAAAAGTGCAGTAATTGATATCTGCCACGGGACTAGGAGGGGTCAGGGGCTCTGTTCTAAGTGGTAGGATTCATCATTTCCATTTTATAGCCCCAGGTTCTGAAAAGTTAAGTAGCTTCCATAGACCATAAACTTAGGAAATAACAGAGACAGGGTTGAACTTAAGTGTGTCTGATTCTAAAGCTCTTTATTTATTCTTCACTCTGTTGCCTCAATCAATATGTCCTGAATACCAACAAGGAATCAAGTGCTGAAGAATTGACTATCACAAAGTTTCTGCCCTTTGTGGCCACCTGGGATATTATAAAGAAAATTCAAAAGAAGGAACTTCACAGAAGAGGTTCCATTATGCTGTCGTTGAAGGATTAGGAATTTGCCATTTGGAGAAAGTCATTCCAGGTAGAGGGAACAGCATGTGCAAAGGCACAGAGGAAGAAAGTAAATGGCATATTTAGGGATGTTCTGTTGTCTGGCATAGGATGCAGGTGTTTGGCTGGGTGAGTAGCGTGGACTAGGAAATAGTGAGTCTGGGAAGGTACGTTGGAATTTGGTTGTGAAGGGCATTTTATGCCACGTTAAGATGGAGTTTGGATTTTATTCTATACATAGAAGGGAATGATGGAAGAATTAAATTTTAGAAAATTCCAAGAAAGCCAATGGTGACATGTAGAGACTGAGCGGGTGGAAGAAAGCAGGAGTAAACCTTGATGATTGTTGTGGTCAGGTGCTCTCAGGTCAGTTTCAACTCATAGTGAACCTATGTACAACAGAACAAAACATTGCCGGGGCCTGTGCCATCCTCACAATTGTTGCCATACTTGAACCCATTGTCACAGTCACTGTGCCAGTCTATCTCATTGAGGGTCCTCCCCTTTTTTCACTGACACTCTACCCATTATAATTTTCCAGAGACTGGTCCTTCTTGCATGACCAAAAGTATGACAGATGAAGTCTGGTCATTCTCACTTCTAGGAGCATTCCAGCTCTACTTCCTTTAAGATAGATTTGTTCGTTCTAGCAGTCAGTGGTACATTCAATCTTCTCAACACCACAGTTCAAATACATCAATTCTTCTGTGATCTTCCTTAATCATTGTCCAGCACTCACTTGCATATGAGGCTATTGAAAATACCATGGCTTGGGCCAGGCACACCTTAGTCTTCAAAGTGACATTTTTGCTCCTTACTACTTTGAAGAGGTCTTTTGCAGCAGATTTGCCCAATACAATACATTGTCTGATTTCTTGACTGCTGCTTCCATAGGTGTTGAGGGTGGATCCAAGTAAAATGAAATCCTTGACAACTTCCATCTTTTCTTCATTTATCATGATGTTGCTTATTGGTGCAGTTGTGAGGATTTTGTTTTCTTTATGTTGAGGTGTAATCCATACTGAAGGCTGTAGTCTTTGATCTTCATCAGTAAGTGCTTCAAGTTATCCTGACTTCTAGCAAGCAAGGTTGTCATCTTCATATGCTAATGGTTAATTAATCTTCCTCCAATCCCAATGCTGCATTCTTCTGCATATAATCCAGCTTCTTGGATTATTTGCTCAGCATGCAGACTGAATAAGTGTGGTAAAAGCATACAACCCTGACGCAGTATCCCCTTGTTCTGTTTGAATGACTGACTCTTGGTCTATGTACAGTTTCCTCATGAGCACAATCAAATGTTCTGGGATTCCCGTTCCAGATGGTGGAGATGGACAAAGACCAGGCAAGGACCATGTGGTTTATTGTTCTTCTCTCTCCCATTTACAGGTACACATTTCCATTGTTGTTGTTGTTAAGTGCCTTTGAGTCAGCTCCGACTCATAGCCACCCTGTGCACAACAGAACGAAACACTGCCTGGTCCTGTGCCAGCCCCACGATCCTTGCTATACCTGAGCCCATCGAATTTTTGGCTGTGAGTTCAAGTTTTGTTGACAGTGATCTTTAGGAATCCTGAGGACCTAAGTCAGAGATGCTTTTCTCCATTTGTACTTGTCTCTGCTGGACACTGGGATGGTTGCTGCACTGGGACTAATTCACCTCTTTTGCAAACTCCTGGCTGCAGTCACGCCTTGCCCCAGCTCTCTTTGCTGCCTTGCGTGATGTTTGCAGGCACTGAGTCCACCTTTCCCAGCTCAGTGTCTTTGTTATGCTTGGAGTTTAAACATGCACTTGGCTACTTTTCCTCCAACCCCACAAGAGCTGAATAATACCCAGTGACATTCTGATCTGGTCTCCATCTCAAAATCTAGAGACATTCCCCCCCCC